TTTCTTGAGAATCAAATATGATTTTATCTTGTAAAAAGAAATAAATTGTTGCCTTTATTTCTTGAACGTCTCGAATCAAAGCTTGGAAAACATGATTTTCTAAGATGTAATCACATTATCAAAGCCTTATCTAATGCATGTTATGAAGTGTACAATGTTTAAAATGGCTAAAGAATTATGTATGGTATTGAACCGTAACTACGAAACGAAAGATGCTGACACTAAGGAAATTTTAGTGGTCAAGTTCTTAAAATTCATAATAATGGAACAAACGAGGAAAAATAAATGTTTTATTACCTCTAGTGATGATAGCAAAAGTATTGATATGTGAATTTGCTTAAGAGCAAAGATGAAGCTATAGAGAAATTTAAACTATATAAGCAGGAAGTCAAAAATCAACTTAATAAAAAGATTAAGATAGTAACAAATGATCGTGGTGGTGAATATGTTGAACCATTCGGTGAATTTTGTTCAGAAAATGGTATTATTCATGAAGTAACACCAACTTATTCTCCTCAATCAAATGAAGTTTCTGAGCGGAAAAATCGGACTCTAAAAGAAATTATGAATACCTTGTTAGGCGGTTATGGTTGTCACAAAACATGTGGGAGAAAGTTGTTCTTTCAACTTACCTTTTAAATAAGGTACCCTGAAAGGAAAAATATAAGACACCATGCGAATTATGGAAAGGTCAGAAACTTTCCTACAAACATTTGAAAATGTGGGGATGTCTTGCCAAGGTAATGGCCCCATTACCAAAGCAAATGAAAATAGGTCCTAAAACTACGGATTGTATTTTCATTGGCTATGAAGGATATAGCAATGTGTATCGATTTCTTATGTATGAATCTAAGAATCTTGAGATTCACAAGAATACGATAATGGAATTAAAGAATACATCATTCTTTGAAAATATTTTCCCTTATAAATCTACAGAGGTTAATCAAAGTTTAATGAAACGAACCTTAAAGACTAATAATGAGGATAGTCCAAATGATCAACAAAAGCTGAAATTGAGATAGAGTCAAGAAAGAGTAAACATGCAAGGGTTGAAAAATCCTTTGGGCCAGACTTCTTAACCTTTATGTTGGAGGTTGAACCTCAAATATATATTGAAGCTATACGATCCTCTGAAGGCACCTTATGGAAAGAAGCTATTAAGAGTGAAATAGATTCCATCATGCAGAACCATACGTAAGAATTAGTGGATCTTCCTCCAGGGATTAAACCCCTAAGTTCTAAATGGATTTTCAAGTGAAAAATGAAAGCAAATGGAACAATTGAAAAGTGAAAATCACTGGAAAAGGATAAAAAATGATATTGAGATATCTTAGATATACTCGGGATTATGGGTTGCATTATTCCAGAGATCTTGCGATCTTAGAATGATACTCCGATGCTAGTTGGATATCTGATATTCAGGATACCAAAAGCACAAGTGGATAAGTATTCACTTTAGAAGGAGGAATTGTGTCTTGGAAATACTCAAGACAAACGATAATAACTAGATCCACAATGGAATCTAATTTTGTAGTTGTAGACAAAATTGGAAAATAAGCATAATGACTTCGAAACTTTCTTCAGAATATTCCAGAATGGCCAAAACATATGCCCATGGTATGTATATACTGTGACAACCAAGCTACAATTGCTAGAGCATATAATTTCATGTATAATGGTAAATCGAGACATATGCGTCATCGACACAATACCATTAGACAAATGATCTCAAATGGAGTTATTTATATTGATTTAGTAAAATCAAAGGATAACATTGCGGATCCGCTAACCAAAGGGTTAAATCGAGATCAAGTTGAGAAACCATCTAAAGGAATAAGACTAAAGCCCATGAAATTTAAAGGCGTTATGTGAAGAAAAACCCTACCTTGTTGACTGAAGATCCCAAGATCTAGGTTCAAAGGGACAACCTAATTGCATAACCTGTGTATGGTCATTATGGGGGTTTCTTATCCCAAGTTCGTTTATATGATGTAAATAGTGATCAAGGTTATATAGGCTAAGCTAGGCTTTTAATGACCATTAAGTGTTGTGGTGAGCTGAGCAATATAAGTCACATGTATGAGAGTGAAGTGGGACCACTTCAAGGAGACTATTGGGACATAGTTCTCTCAAACTCTTGTAGAACCAGGCGATGTCCATGGCTTTAAGGACATACCCATGAGAACTAAATTCTTGTTAGAGGGGTAGTTGTGTGAAGTATGTCATCGTTTACACAAATGGAAGAACAGTTCAAAGACATCACGTCTACTGTTTAACCAGTAAAGTAAATATACTGTCACAAGGGAAGGTTCAAAGGAGGACACATACCTATCCTATGCAACTATCAATCGTAGAGGCTATCTGTTGAAAACATTTTGATATTTCGATATAACAAATTAATTTAAATGAATTTTAAGATTTTCCAAAAAGATTTTCTAAGTATATTCGATATAATTATTCGAATATCAAAATAATACTCCAAATCTTTCAAATGTCATTTTTAATCATTACTCAAGTGTAAAATTAAGTTTTAATCTTAAAATAATTTCAAAACGATTTTACAAAATATTTCGAACCATCTCAAAGCCAAAATTCCAGATTGCTCAGAGGGAACCGATTCCCCCCCCCCAAGGGGGTACCGATTCCCCCTGAATGGTTTGGCTCCGAGAATTTCAGTATGCTCGGAGGGAACCGATTCCCCCCTTGTGTAATGGTCGAAATATTTGAATTTTACACTTAGGGAACCGATTCCCCTTAAGGGATACCGATTCCCCCCACGCTCCAAACTGTTTTATTAATTGATTTCACACTAAAACAGCTATTATCTTCATTAATGATCCCCAACGTTCAGAAGTGATTCAAGGTGTATTTAAGCAAGCTTAGAAGCCATTGATCAACAACAAGAAACATCAAGCAACTAGAATTAAGAGAGAATCAAAGAGAAAACATCAAACCTTAAGTTTGAGCATTTCAAGCCTATTTTTCATTCAATATTCATTTTGCTTTCAAGAACACTTATTGTGCTCAATTGTATTCATTCTTGAGTGTTCTTTTCTTTGTTCTAGAATTGTGCAAACAATCTACCTTGTGAGGATTTCCTTGTAAGTTTGCAAATTTGTATTGTTCTCTTTGGGAGAGAGTGTTCTCAAGAATTTGGGCTATAATTCTTGAGGGTTTGTAAGGTTAATCTTTGTCCTCAAAAGAAAGACAAATTAGTGAATTTGTGAAAAATCCTTAGTGTGGATAGCTAAGGTAGTGGACGTAGACTTTGGTTGAGAAAGTCGAACCACTCTAAATCGCTGTGCAATTTCTTTCAATTTTCTGCAAAAGCTTCCACCAAAATTTTTATTGCCAATTCACCCCCTCTTGGCCGATTCGTCATTCGATTAACTCAACACTATCACCACACCGTGTCAAAATATTTTTGATTAAATCATCAATTTCATTCATGTGGGGGATTGTTGAAAAAATGGTGAATTACATTGATGGATTTAATATTTATATTAAATTCAGAGTCCTTTTGGATATTACAAATTAAAATACATGGTTTAATTTGAATATCAGTAGGATAATTACTCTTTTAATATGTCAATTTAAAATTGTATGTATTACTTTTTTAACTTTGAATATTAAAAGATAACTATATACTTATGTGTATTTCAATTTAAAATAATATTTGTTTAATTTGAATAATAAAATAAGTGTATATATGTTTAACATTTTAAATTTATAAGTTATTATTTTCTATTTAATTTTATTTATTAAAAGATATATGGTTAGAGTAAATCTCTTAGGTTTACTATTTTAAATTTTAAAGATATTATTATTTGTTTAAATTTAGATATGAAAAGAAATTTAGTGGGAGAAAAACTCTCTCGAAATTCCCAATAAATACTAAGCAATTCTCTAAGTTTTTTCACAACTCATAATTCAAGAAGCTTCCTTCTCTTGAAAACATTTTCTCTCATTCTCAGAAAATATTTCTTTTCCCTTAGTTTTTCGGTGATAGTCAAAGGCAAGGAAAGTTCGTGATCAAAATCTCGAACACCAAGGAGTGGTCGAAAATCTGTCTTAAGGAAAATATGTAGCGACATGACTCAACTGATTTCAATCTCAAGATCAAAGTACAGAGTATTTTATTTTCTGTAATTATCTTTTATTTTTTTATTTGATTTTTTCTTTTACTTTTCTCAATTCCAATTTAATCTCGGATTGTTACACTCGAATAACAAGGGGAATCCAGATGCTTGCCAAGATCTGCTACCTCAAAGAACCCAAAACCACCACTAATGCTATGACCCATGGCTAGGAGCACATTCTTGCAAAAAAAGTGCCATTTTGGTTAAATTAACTTTGTGCCTACAAACTGACAAAATTTATCTAGAATCTATCGAACAACATTTAATTAATCAATAGAAGCCTTAGTAAATAAGATCATATCGTCAATAAAAACAAGTGAAAAATCGTTAGACCAATCTTCGAATTTTTTGATAAGTCACCGCTTACTAAAATATAATTTTAAATACTTATTTTAATAAAAAAAATATTTTAATTATTTAAATATAAAATATATTATAAATATAAAATATATTATACTTTATGTATTTATTTATTATATAAGCCTACGTAAAAGGGGCAAGAAGTTTCACAAAGGCTCGGTGGTTTAAGAACGAGGCTTTGCTCTCAGGGAGGTGGCTGGTTCTCTAAAGGGTGGTTGCTCCCCTCTGATTGATAAGCGAAGCCTATGATTTCACTTTAGCTTACACAAAATCTACAACACTTTCTACTCAATTCATCCATTCACTCATAATGTTCATCATCATCGCTACTACTACTGTGATCTGTCTATGCTATGCTCCTTCTTCATGCAAAGACCCCTATGAAATGAGGCAATGATGATTGTCCTTTGGGTTATTAAAGTTCAGACTTTTGAAGAAAAAAGGCCGTTGCTTGGCGGGGCAACTCGTGTTTGTTGAAGCCACCGGTTTTGTTTTCTTTACCTGTCTGATAAAAGGCGAATCTGAGCACCCTCCCCCCATTTTTCTCGAGGTTTTGTGCTTGGTTGAGTTCACCTGGATGGGGAAAATACCCAGTTTCATATCTTAATGGGAATCTCTATTATAAATCTTATTTTCATTTCAAAGTTGAAAATTTTATGGTGAAATCAGTGTGATTTTGGATCTTGTTGGTTAAAAGCGTGAACTTTTATAGTATGATTTTACCTGTCAAAATTTGATTCTGATTAGCTATTAGTTTATCAGAGTGAAGTTAATGACTACCCCATTTGGAAAATGTGGGATCTTGGTTCAGCCTTTGTTGCATTTTGAGCTTTTTTAATTGTTATGTTTCCATAGTTGTTCTGTTATTCATGTTTCTTGAGTTTGAGATTTTGATTTATACCTGTTGCTAATTTTAGAGTATCAATATGCTTGTGCTGTTGACATGCAACAAAGATGTGATCCAGTGAATCAAAATCCAATCACATTTCTACTTGTTAAATCATATATTGAGTTGGGGACTTGAGGGTTCTCTCAATGGCTCATTAGTTGAGCTTGATCAGCCATTGTTGCTAGTTCTGCATGTTGAGCTTTGTTAAATTGTTATACTTACTACTTGAAGGGGAAATGGCACTTCTAGGTCCGTTTCCTTCTCTTAGTGCTCCTGCTAGTTACAGAGGCAATGGTTGTAAAATCTTCATCAATCATTGTGTTCCGTACTCGGTACTTTCGGCATTCTATATGAATAACTTATTTTTTACTTTTTGCAGGGTTTGCTAATCCCTCGGTCACAGGTTAGAAGTCTGTTCTGTCAACTTGAGTCGATCGCTATGTCTTATTTCCTTGTATTCATCCTTTTAATTTAAACATGATCGTCTATCTATGTTATGGAATATGAATACTGATTGCAGAAGCAATGACCCTGATCTCACGCGATGACATTGGTCTGTGTCTTGTTTCATGTTATTTTTCCGTATCGTGTATTATGTTATCAAAGGATTGCTACTTCTATTATCTTTGCCAACATTTCATGAGAATTCATCAGAGGAAACTGATCATCACAAGTGAAGTTGAGGCTATTATGTATAAGCAATAATAGTCTTTCTTTTCTCATCTTGTCAAGACAAAATATATACGTTCTTTCTGGTCAAATGACTCTAGACTTGCATGAGTGCACAAGAACCAGCCTAATCCGCATGTTTTCCCATGAAATCATATATGAAATCCAGACCACTGAGTATGTATGATCTCATGGATATACTCTCTACCCGTATAAATGTTCGGAACTGGATCTGGATCCTGGATCGAACAGACTACATGTATCTGTGATATCTTCTATCATTTTACAAGTCTCAGGGAAAACAGATTAAGCAGCAAATTGTACCTTGGGTTGAAAGAAACCATGTCCACGAAGCTGGCTCTATCAAGGGGATCGATTCTTGTGGGCGATGCAACAGCCCTTTTTCAACGCCGCTACCTTTTTCCTGAATTTTAAGCATTTGTTGTGTTTCGATTCCATAATACCGGGGTTAGTATTAAGTTGTTTTGATCTCCTTGCGGAATTCATCTCCATGTTTATGAAAATGTTTAGTGTTGGATGTATTCCGGATACGATTCCAGGTTGCTATGGCCACCACCCTTGACCCATAAAGGCTCATACTTTCTTTGGAAAGTTCCCATAATCGCTTCCCGTGAGACCAGTCAACTGTTTCGTCATCCGTACCCTGTAACCGGTGATAAACGACGGCGTGATTATACAAACATGATGCTACTAATCGGAGGTAAAATATACTTACATGTACAACTAGAACCGGACAAGTGACCGGTTGGATTTTATCGATATTCTGCAGATACTTAGAAAGATATTCCTCAATATATAGATCAAAATACTTGTAAAGTTTGCAGAAGAATGGAAGATCTTCACATGAAGAACAGAAATCGAAACTTACCTTAAATATATCGAACCAAAATGTCATCTTAACAAGATACAAGGCTCTATGAAGAACGACTCCTTGTAGTTTCGGAAAACGGGCAGCCAAGTGGAGAGTCGGTCCGCTTCCGACGGGTTGGCCGTAAATTATCAAATCCTACTGCTTAACCCCATACTCCTTCTGCAAACAATTGTACACGACCTCTATGTCATAATATGTGTGGAGCTCAGTTGGCTATTCCAATGGCAGAAAACAAAAGAAAATGAACTTATCAGACTAGTCCCAAAGTAATTTGGTAAAACAGAAGGAAAAAAAACAACCATAGAGATCCATTTACCTTGCCAGAGGATGCTCAATACCCTGAATAATCATAACTGCAAGCAAAAAGTGAAAGAAAATTATCAGAAACTGTACAATTCAGCCATTAACATACATGAACAAGAAGAAGCAACACCAGACTTCATCAAACATAAAAAAAATAAAAAAGCCAACACAAAAAAAAATATTTCAAGGGAAAACTTAACAATTTCATGGAAGATTAATGATAGAAGAGTACCTCATAATATTGACACGAAAATGGGCTCTGAGTTCATGCATCTGCCCAATATCAGCAGCATTGGCATGTGAATAGAACAGGGTAAACCTGGCAAAAGGTTGTCTACAAAACGTGGCCACGATCGTATTACCACCTCCGGTATCGAGCAAATGAACATCCATGTTCTTGTCGGCTGTTATTCCGGGCAAAACCAGCTTCCCATTTTCTTTCCTGTAAACTTCGTACGTTGGTGGGTCTGGTGGGAAAAATGCAAGCTTTGCAGCCACATTCGACGTCACATCACCCATTTTTTCACAACATAAACCAAATCATTAACAAAAGGAGAAGAAAACAAAACAAAAAAAACCCCTGTTTTTCTATTCTTTATTTTCAGATAAGAAACTGGGAAACAACACATGCCATGAACATGTTTGCAGAAGAAAACAAATGCTTGGGTTAAAGGGTGTTGGTTTCTTTTGCGTTTTCTTAGAATTTCTTCTGGTTTTAAAATTTTATGTTAGTGATGGAGTGCTTTTCCCGTTGTGGGGATTGGTGATGTGTGGGTTCTGTTACTCTTCTTTTATGGTTTTTTTGCAAAGGTTATCAAAACCGGATTTGACTGGCCGGTTCAACCGGTTGAACCGTAAATTAATGATATGTCCGGTCCGATTACCTCACAATAATGGTATGACAATGAATCGGTTGAAAATCGGTAAAATCAAGGTGAACCGGCTGAAAACCGGCAAAACCGCTTTGAACCGCCGGTTCACTTTTTTTCTTTAAAAAAAATTAAACCAAATGACGTCGTTTGTTCAACGAGCCGAGTCAAATTCGAGTATTGCTGAACTCGATTCGAACTCGAAAACTTTAAAAGTAAGTTCAACTCAACTCAAAAACTCACGAGCTAAAAATTACCAAGTTCAACTCGAACTCAAAATATAATATTAAAACTTGAACTCGAAAAGGCTCGAACTCAAAAAAGAATTAGAAGTTCATTGAAGCCTAAAATTTGAGCTCAATTGAAGCAAAAGAATAATTCACTCTGTGCTCACCAAAAGGTTCAATGATTTTGAATGTCAAATTATTTCTATTATTTATAGAAGTAAGTTGGGATGTTTTTCTATGTTTCTTAGCCATGTGGGATTGTTTTTTTTTTTAAAAATTAAACTAAATGACATAATTTATTATGATTTTTTTAAGTCCCAATTTTATTTTTTTATTATAGTTATATAATTATATTTATTATTTAATATGTTTTACCTTAAATATTATGTTGTAGTTGATTTGAATTATTTTGTTTCACTTGATTTTATGGTTTTTAATTTATATATATTATGGCTTGTGATATTTTTATACCTTTTAATATTGTAAACTTAAAAAAAAGTGTTTCATATATATATTAATATTGTTTTGAATATTATGTAAAATTAAAAAAAATATTATTTTATATAAAATTCGGTTCAACCGCGATTAAATCCGTTTGAACCAGTGAACCAGTACCTTCACCGGTTCAATGTCCGATCCGATTTTAAAAACATTGGTTTTTTGACTTAATATATAAAGAAAATAACCTCAGTGACCAAAAATACCTTATAATATACAATTTTAACCAACTTTTTTTAGATTTGCCAAAATGACCAACTAAATCGCAATGCGATCGATAATTCCCAACGCGATCTCCGGTATCGCAAATCAATTTCTAAATTCTTTGCGATAGTCCAAATTCACGTTGCGAATCTGGAAACTGATTTACGATACCGGAGATCGCGTTGCGAATTATCGATCGCATTACGATTTAGTTGGTCATTTTGACAAATCCAAAAAAAATTAATTAAAATCATATATTATAAGTCATTTTTGATCATTTTCTCTAATATATATATACATACGGTGTTTACTGGGGATAATGGAAATGCAACAATCCAAAGGTGAAAACTTGATGGGGGGAAATGAAGATCCGTTCTAAGCGGGTGAGCTGGAATTTCTTTCTAGAGAGATTGCTAGGTACCATACATTCTTTTTTTTTTTTTTTACTTTTAGAGTAAATTACACTGGTGGTCACTTACATTTTAAATTGATTTTATTTTGATCACTAGATTTAAAATTTATATTTCAACCAATAAACTTTTATTTTTTTTCTTATTATGGTCACTATATTTATTTGATGTGAAGAAATAATATGGCATTTTTAAGTCTTTTCTCTCAGAAAAAACCCTAAAGTTCTAAATTTGCATTCTTCGTTTATCATTCAAGACCAACATTTTGATGAATGGAATGGTTGCCAATTAATTTCAATGACCAGACCAACGTTTTGATGAACGGAATGGTTTCCAATTAATTTCAACGACGAGAATGATCTGTTTAGTCAAAAGATTAGAACAATTTTAGTTTCAAACTAATTAAACTATTGATAATGACATATCAAAAAGTTTTAACATTAATCCCTTTACTAATGTTGGAAATTGTGTTTATCTCTGGTTTCTTTTTATTTTGGTATTAAATATTTATTAGTAGGGGACAAAATTATGTCAAACAAAAGTAGAAACTAAATCTCGAATTTCAACATCACAGAGGAACCAAAACCATAATTAGACCAACTGGAAAAGCGTTTCCCGACAAGAGTAGTTGTCAAGTCTCTAACAAATTTTCCAATTTTAGTCCTTGTCTTGTTGGACAGACAGTTTAGACTTGATTTTCAGGACAGGGTTTAAATAGAATTTGTAAAATTCCCTTTTATGGTTAACATGTTGTAGGACATATATACACTTGTTGCATTATATTAACATATCATAAAAATTAAAAAATCATTTAATTGTAACATTAAAGGACACAACTATGTCATAATAAGAAAATGTTAAATCTCAATTTCAATATTATAGAAGTACTAAATCCATAAATAGACAAATTAAAAAAAATTGCAATCAAGAGAATCTGTTCGTTTCCTTTATCCTCCAATGACTTGGTAAACACGTTGCAGAACATATATTTTGCTGGTTGCTAATCCGTCTTGATCTTTTATTCATAGGCTAAGCGCAACATTGAATCAGATGACATATCAGAAGAAAATAGAAAGAAAACTTGGGTAACTGAATGCAGAATGCATAAATGATCTCAGGACATCAAAATTTTTATGTTTTAACATGAAAATACGGTTCAGCAAAATCATATATGATCCAGCTCCATGGTTACTAGTTGGGGTTCTCGCAAGGTCCTGCAGACGATGAATACAAATTTTTTCTTTTTAGTGATGGAAACTCTAGCTATTCTGCTTTTCTTTCATCCATTCTACAAAATTGTCGAGAATCAAAGGCCAAGCTAGGCCTGAGTCGTAATTTCCAAGATCGGGAAAGCTAATCTGCGATAAATGCCACAAATTGCATGAGGGAAAGGGTGGGGGACAAATACTTATCAGGCTTAGTTCAGTTCTTTCAATGTAAGTCTATAGATAGATTATTTGTAAACCTTAACAATATTGCACGAGAGAAAGAAATATTCAATTTTCCAGGGAAATAACGGCAAACATCTACAATTTTGTTTGGAATAGGCTAACCTCTTGGAAAAAACGTAGAAAGTTGTTCCACTGGTCCAAATTTATTACTTTGTAATCACTCTGGACCTAACAGCACATCAAGTCCAGGCATTATAAATGCCATCGGACACATGTTCTGATAATTTAATGCATCTGATCTGCATATCTTTTGTAAAGATGAAACAATAACAGTCCAACCTTTAGATACTCAATTAGTGAATCAACCTGAGGACGAAATTGCGCATCAAGAACAATTCAACAGTTCACAGATGCTTTCAATGTCCAAGCTCTTTGTTTCTCCTCTGAAGCAGTTGATCGATGTCAGCTTTTATTAAAAGAACAATTACTACAAAAGAGAAGCTGGCTTGGTGAAAAAGAGGTTGCTTTCATTCAATTAAAGGGCAAACCTGTTAGGCAATATTGAAATGCATAGGTATAGAATCCTCATAATTTTGGGCTTCCGCACCTTTTAATTTCATACATAGAAAAGCTAAATTCAGCACTACCACTTAACTGCTCACTTGTCAACTAGAAAATGAATTTACAAGAAAGCAATAACTGTGGCAACAGATACAAGTAACAAAGTACCTCGATCTCCAGCTGAGGAAGTGCCTTTTTTAGTTTGCTAAGAGAATCAACCCCCAATGCTTTCATGCCAGTTCGCCACTCATCCTGATTCGGTGCAAGAGAAGGAAAAACGTAGTGCTCATTCATCTAATGTGAATGTCAGTTCAAATTTATATTATAGCATCCAATAACAAAAATGTCATTCATATAATTCGTGCTTCTAATGACCTGGGTAAAGAAGCCCTGCTTTGCAGCTTTTAATTTCCTGAGTTATGCAGAACACATGATGTTAGAAGATTCTCAGACCCAATGATGGATTTGGTTAAACCCACGGAATATTACATACCAAGCAAGCATCAATATCCTCACATCAGTGTAGTCCACTCCTAGATCTGAACAGAGTGCTTCAATACCATCCGGACTGCTCATGAAACAAAGCGCATTAAAAAAAAAAACCCACATTACAACAATTTAAAACAGAAAAGAGATCAAATGTATTGGCTTGTTCTTCCTTTGTAGCACTACAAATAAAAAGAATGAAGATGGGATATACTTACTCAATCATGCCTGATGAACTATTTGCATATGAATTGAACAGACGAACTATCTTTTCCAGCCCCTTTGTTTTAGCTTTACTCAAGACTGAGAAAATGAAATATAGCATTATCTAACTAGAATACCAGGCACTCCAACAAAACACCAGAAAAGGTTAGTCAAATAATATCGAGCATATTTAAGAAACAACTCTTTCAGGCTTGATCAACTAAGAACAACCAACAATATCATTATTTTATCTTTTTAACAAACATTCAACAAAGACAGCAATGTTGTAACAGACTGTTATTCCTGTGGTTTTCTGGCATAAGCATCATATATTGCTATGATAATCACCAAATTAAGGAAAGAACAAAATTACAAATAACGTCTGCAGATCATCAAATCAATATTAACAGCCCTTTTTATGTGAGAATCTTCCTAACATATCAATGACTGTTTATTTTTCACAAGTTCCAGTGATGGGTTAAACCTGAAAAAAACTTACTAAATTTCAGTGAAATGGTAATAAGCTGCAATTACATGCAGCCAAGATGATAATCAACAACACCAATCAAAGAATAGTCGAATCAGACTTGATATGAAATTAAAATATTTATATAATATCCTAGGAAAATTCTTTGCTGAAAGGTTTCTTTTGTCTTAAACAAATTTCTATATACGTTCTTATTCCCCGCGATCTTTGAGAAACCAGTTAGAATAGAATAAATCAAAATTCGCATTCGAACCAGAATATCTATATACGCTAATTATAACTTCTTCATCAGAAAGAAATTAATAAAGGTTACTCTAGATTTCGCTAAAATTCCTTTATTTTCTTTAACCCTTTTTTCCCACGGTTTCTCGCGTACCAAACATGGCAAAATCTCTTCTTCTTCTTTTCCAAATAAGAAAGGGGAAATTGGGGTACCAGAACGACCGTCGGATGATGTGACGGATGAGGAGTTGGGTGGGGCCGTCTTTCGCTTAGATGCGCGAGGTGGCATGGCGAGAATGCGGAGGAGAAAGAAAACCACAACCGCTTGATTTAATGACCAATATTGAATTGACCAAAGGTTTGAACAACCAAGAACCCTAGATCCCAATAATATTTGAAACTGGGAAATTGAAAAAAAGGGTGTTCTTTAAAGGACTGGGAAAAAGAAAGACGAGCGTGTGAATGTTACAGGGAAGGGTTTTCTTTTTCATCTTTGCGTGCTGTTCAACGCGCGTATCCGCACGTGTACTGTAAACTGCCGGTAGGCCCATTGGATCAAACTAAAAAATCCAATCCATCTTAGGAGTAAATCCCAAAATATTATTATTTTGAGTATATTATAAGTTAAAAATGACGAAACTGATAAATAGAGGTTGTCTCTAGAAATACGGATTAATATACGGTTAATATACGGTGTTACCGGAAACATAATAAAATATTTAATAAAGTTGGTTTAGTGCTACTGGAAATATTGAGTGATAATAATGTTGTAGGCGGAAATCATGAAGAAATATTAAAAAAATTGGCAACCAGCAAACTTAGCTTGACGGTACGTATCGATACAATTATTAAGATATGTATCGATACATAATAATATATCAGGTAAAAAAAATGAGAAAATGGGGTTCAATATGACAAAACCGGTAAAGTGCTACCGGATATGTTGAAAGTATCGATTCCATTGAAATAAGTATCGACACTTTTGGAATTTAAAAGAAAAGCAGGAATAGAGCCTATAAAGTATTGATACTTTATAAACATGTATCGATACATAACAATATAACAGGTAAAAATATGATAAAACCGGTTTCATAATGACAACCGGTAAAGACCTACCGGTTATGTTAAAAGTATCGATTCCATTTAAATAAGTATCGACACTTTTGGAATTTAAAAGAAAGTAGTAATAGCGCCTATAAAGTATCGATACTTTATAAAAAGGTATCGATACATAACAATATAACATGTGAAAATATGATAAAACCGGTTTCATAATGATAAAACCAGTAAAGCGCTATCGGATATATTGAAAGTATCGATTCTATTTAAATAAGTATCGACACTTTGGGAATTGAAAAGAATAGCAGTAATAGCGCCTATAAAGTATCGATACTTTATAAAAATGTATCGATACATAACAATATAAAATAAAAATATGACAAAATCAGTTTCATTATGACAAAGGTAAAGCACTACCATATATGTTGAATGTATCCTATAAAGTATCGATACTTTATAAAAAGGTATCGATACATAACAATATAACATGTGAAAATATGATAAAACCGGTTTCATAATGATAAAACCAGTAAAGCGCTATCGGATATATTGAAAGTATCGATTCTATTTAAATAAGTATCGACACTTTGGGAATTGAAAAGAAGCAGTAATAGCGCCTATAAAGTATCGATACTTTATAAAAATGTATCGATACATAACAATATAAAAAGTAAAAATATGACAAAATCAGTTTCATTATGACAAATCGGTAAAGCACTACCATATGTTGAATGTATCGATACTTTGATAAGTACTAAGAAATCATCGATACTTTAAAAGAAATAGGTAAATATCCTATCGAAAGTATCGACACTGACATAAAATTGAGAGTTGGGTAATTTATCAATAAATATAAATAACATATCCGGTTAAAGTATAAAAGACATAGCTAAATTTCCTCTGAAAATAGATAGAACACGACAGAGTTTTTGAAATCGAATCGTAATTGTCATTGCATTTCAGAATGCGTTTTTAAAGCGAAGTTTGTTTGTTTGTTGTTGCAGTCGAATCGAAAAGTACGTTGTCGAAACCCTAGTTTTTTTTATTATTACAGTAATCGAAAATAAGGGTTTTATATGATTGGGGTTTTCGAAGTAAAAAAGCATTTGGGACCGATTACAGGTAGAAAGTGATATTTTAGGTAGATGATAAATATCGATACTTTTATTAAATATTTTAGGTATAAAATGATATTGTAGGTTGTATAAATGTACTGATACTTGGAGTATTGAGTGTTCCCATTAGTTTGAAGGAAATAGGAATTAGGGTTTTTGGGTTTGATTTGGGGAATTTAAATCGAAGCCAAGAAGAATTTGGGATCGATTATATATATAGGTAGAAAATAAATATGGATACATGTATAATATTATAGGTAGAAAATGATATTGTAGGTTGTATAAATGTATCGATACTTGTAGTAGTGGTCAATTCTTTTGAAGGAAATTGTTTTACTACAAGAGTATTTATCTTCTTATCAATATTTGTATTGAATAAAGTGTATATAATCAGCATTTGGTTTTGATTTGCATAAATTGATATATGAAGGAAAATGAAGTCAACGGATCTTGCAATTGTTGTTGGCGAAGATGACTTTGAAATTGAGGTCGAGAGTCGAAAGTAACCAAAGGGTGGATATATGTACTTCTAGTAAGTATCAATGTATTTTTGTTATTATTGTTGAAATGGTAATTGGATTAAAGTATTTAAGAACTTTAAATTGATTACAAATTTTAAATTTTGACAGTATGATTGAATGCCAAAGGATGAAGGAAGCTGGCAATCATATCGGTTCGGTATGTAAAATGATATTGATATTGAGTATTATTTAGTGTTAATGTATTGATTAAGAAACGTTTATGCTTAATATTGGGTGAAAATGATGTTGTTGGAGAAATGGAAGTCGATGAGTGTTGTTGAATGAACCTTACATGACACGGTCAAAGATGGATAGACAAGAATACAAAGCTTGGAGGAAAGCACATGAAAAGATATTCATTAAACTTGTAAATACTTTGATAAAAAATATATAAGAATAATAACATTATATATATTTTTTAAAATGTAGGAAGTTTCGACAAGGTGCAGCATAAAAAGAGTGAATTCATTAACTGAATACCTTAAGGAGAATGAGCAATTGAACGTGCTGAAAGAAATGGGGTTTAGATCTTTGATAGGAGTAAGGGATCGACCAATTCAGAGGGAATTGTGTCTATCCTTGGTGGAGGAATTCGATGTCCAACATGTATGGTTAAATATGGTGATTATTCATTTCCTCTGGGGTTTCATGTGATTCAACCGGCTTGGGGTATAAAATAAGGCAAAAGGTTTGTAGAAGTCAGTAAGACTAAGAACTGGAAAGCACTTGCCTCCAAATATGATCTGAAGCACAATGTGACATATGCTGAACTTGAAGAGAAAATTAATAGTGGATCTTACAAGGGGATGACCTGAAAGCCTGAGTTCTGTTGTACCTTGTTGGAATCTTTCTTTGTCCAACGGGTGATACATCAACGAGCAAGGACAGTATAAAGTTGATTTGTGATAAAAGCTTGAAAGATGAATTCAATTGGGCTAAATATGTCCATTCGAGATTGATTAAATCAATAATCATCTTTCAAAAGGGCCACCAGAGATACCTCAAAGGGTTCATAGCAATCTTAGAGGTAAATGAGTTAAAGAACATTTTTGTTTTTTTATATAAAATGATAGTATAGTTATATAAAATGATAAATGTAATTATAAATGCAGGTTGCACTATTTCATTTTTGGTCGAATTGTAATAGTGTGCCGGTATATGAAAGAACCAGAGTGGCATGTATCCATGCATGGGGGAAGGAAGAGGTGATTAGAGTGATGGCGAAGTTGAAATTGGATAGACCGACGAAGCAAGAAATGATAATAAATTTAATTAAATAATATTAAGAATATAATGAATGATTAATATTGTAATTTAATTTTAAAGGTTATTAGAAAGGATGTAGAGGAGTCAGTATGGGCAGTGGAGGAAGAGGATAAGGAAGAAGAGATCGTAGTAGGGGGATGATGGTAAAAAACAGAGCAAATTCAACATTTTGATGTCTGAATTGGCAGATGTAAAAAATTCCTTTTTGATATTTTGCAAAGAATCAAGAGTCGAAGATACAATAAGAGGCTTAAGGGGAAGTGTTGTGAAAAAATAGAGTGGTGAAAAAGTTGAGGAGTGGGGTGAACTAAGATGGTGACGGGTGAAAAAATTGATGGAGTGGTGAAGGAAGTTGTGGAATTGAGATGTGAACTTACGGAGGTGAAGGAGGGGTTGAGAAAAAGTTGGATGAAGGGAAAAAAATGAAGCGCGAAATAAAAGAGATGAAGAGTTATGTGGAGGAAAAGCACGATGAATTGAAAAAATATGAAGTAGAAAATATGAAGGGAGTGAGGAGGAAAGATGTGGATGTGATTTATACACCGGAGAGTGTTATAGATGCATATTTGGATTTAGAATGTCCTGCACCCAAGAAGAAGTAGAAGGTAAGCTGAATAAAAGAAAACTTAATTTGAGTTTTATTATTTTGTTGTGACAAAAATTTGTATGCAAAATTGTAGGTTGAAAAAGCGGAAATTCAAAGAAAATTGGTGATTACGAAGCTGCAATGTGTGATTATTTATGGAATAGTAGGTTACAATCGACGTAAGTGAAATATATTGCTTTGTGAGTGATATTTAAATATTTCATGACAAAATATTAATCCTAATGCTTCATACAGAAATGTTGTAATCGAAATAGGAAATCAATTCGCTTCAGTATCCGACGTTGAAACGTTGAAGCCTATGGAATGGGTTAGCTGTGCAGTAAGTAGAAAGTAAAAAATGTTAAAACCTAGAGAATATGTTGTGATTGTGTAATTAATTTTGTTAGTTTATTGACTTGGTTGGCTAGACAATATGTTATGAATCGAATAAGTTACCGTTGCATGGGAAGATTGGTTACATTCCATACCACTTAGCGGTTGGTTAATTAATAAATGTTGAAAAGTATTGTTATAGATAGTCAATTAATAATGATTGTCGCGTAAATGCAACAACAGGCGTTGGAGGGAAAATCAACTCTTGATGGTATTGTGAGCTTTTGGGAGATGATATTAAATGACTATTCGAAATTCACCGACTGTGACAAGGTAAGACACCATACGAATTGTAAATGATGTTTTTAGATATATAATGTTGAATTTTGTCAAATTAGGTGTGAAATTTATTACAGATCCTGATCACAATAAACGACGGTGGTACCCATTGGTATCTGTTGGTGTTGGATATGGTTTATTGTGTTGCAATGGTATATGATAGTCTATTTTCATCTCCAGCTGCCAAAAACAGAGTGAAGGATTGTAATATCCCAAAATCAGGG